AAAAATACTGCAAAGGAAATATTTCTGGGGGGATCTTGCCCATCTGAAAGTGTATGTATTTTACCTAAAATGTGATTGATAGCCAGGCTGGGTGTAGGGTTCTAGCATGGAAGTGATTTCCCCTGGAAATGCTGAAGCCACTGCTCTACTGGCACCTAGCTTCTGGGCTTGCTGCAGAGAAGTCAGTTGCCATTCCTTTGTTTTTTCTTTTTGGAAGTTGGCAGGATCTTCTTTGTTCCAATGTTCTGGAATTTCATGGCATGTGGGTTCAGTATGCCTTTCTTCCCCGCCCCACCCCCTGACCCCGCCCCGCAAGATGGAGTCTCGCTCTGTCACCCAGGCTGGAGTGTGGTGGCACAATCTCGGCTCACTGTGACCTCTGCCTCCTGGGTTCAAGCAGTTCTCCTGCCTCAGCCTCCCAAGTAGCTGGGATTACAGTTGCGTGCCACCAGGCCCGGCTAATTTTTGTATTTTTACTAAAGATGGGGTTTCGCTATGTTGGCCAGGCTGGTCTCAAACTCCTGACCTCGTGATCTACCCATCTTGGCCTCCCAAAGTGCTGGGATTACAGGCGTGAGCCACCGCACCCAGCCTGGATCTTTTCTTTAGTTAAGTGAGATTCCCTAGAGAAAGCTCCCCCAGTCCACTGTTCAGAGGGGGTGAGTCCCACTGCCAGCATTCTACAGCTGAGTGGGAGAGAAGGGCTAGGCTGTGGGATCCTTCCCCGAAGCTCCCTATTCTCTGTGTGCTGCCAGTGCCCCAACTATGCAGATTGTCCCCAGTCTAGGGACCTGTAACTGTCCTCTCTCGACGTGAAACCTTGGAATGGAGGGGAAACTGTGACACTCCCAAGGGGGTCTCAATAACTTCTTCTTGAAGAGACTTCAACCAGCACTCCTGTTTTCATAACCCGCTTTCCCCCCAACTCCTGTAAGCGCCCAAGGTCACTAAGGTCTGACCCTTTGGGCGATTCCATAGCAGTGTACACTCGGTCACGTTCCGGTATTTCCACGGTGTCTTAGCATTTGTTTTTCTCTCATGCTTTTAGGCACTGGTCATTCATCAGCTTTTCAGCTTCTGAAACCTTGTTGCTGTCGCCCTCTTCTTGTTTCCTTTGTCCTTGTGGGATTATGCTTTAAAAAAAAAAAGTCTCTGCTTTTGTTGTAGTAGAGTTCAGAAGTATCATCATCAATATGTATCTTTAACTAGAACATAAGCATTTCATTTCCTTCCAGGGTGACTCCACTCCTAGGTCCCCCAGCTTCTCTATGACTTCCATCACTTCTCTTTTTTTTTTTTTTTTTTGAAGCAGAGTCTCACTCTGTCGCCCAGGCTGTGCACTGGCGCGGTCTCAGCTCACTGCAACCTCCGCCTCTTGAGTTCAAGGGATTCTCCTGCCCCAGCCTCCTGAGTAGCTGGGACTATAGGCACCCGCCACCACACTCGGCTAAATTTTGTATTTTTGGTAGAGACGGGGTCTTGCCGTATTGGCCAGGCTAATCTTGAACTCCTGACCTCAGGTGATCTGCCCGCCTCAGCCTCCCAAAGTACTGGGATGACAGGTGTGAGCCACCACGCCCAGCCCAACTTCCATCACTTTCAACTCCTGTTACCTGTTATCTTTTCAAACACCTTGCTTGTCACCAGATGGTGTCAACCATCTTACATTCCCCAATAGTTTACTTTGACTATTTGGGACCCTGATTTAAACCATTATTTGTGTGTGTGTGTGTGTGTGTGTGTATTTTTTGAGACAAGGTCTTGCTCTTTCCATGTTGGAGTGCAGTGGTGCAATCCTAGCTCAGTGCACCCTCGAACTCCTGGGCTCCCACCTTAGCCTACCAAGTTGCTGGGATTATAAATGCAAGCCACTGCACCCAGCTCACATTTTAAAGGAAATAAACAGTACTGACAGAAAGTAATGTCAAAAAAAAAAAGAAGTTACTTTTTCACGGAAACAGATTTACTCACCAGGTAGGGCTCAAAAGATTAAACCAAGTTGTTTTAAAACAAAAGGATAAAATAAATAAAAGACTCAGTGGGGTTATGTAAGCCTATCATTTTGGGAAGTTGATAGTGATATTTTTGTCCATTAATATCAAATTTGAATAACACTTAGTAAATGTTTTTGGTTTGTAATTCTTAGTGACTGCAGTTATGTTCATTATTTTAGTCAACTTGATACATTTTATAATAACTCTTCCAAGTGTATCATTTGACTAATGCAGTTGGCTGGCACACATTAAAGACATCAGAGGTTACACAATGAGACCAGAGTTAAGTGATGAAAAATTCAGAAGTACATTTGTATCTGACCCTGAAATGTCTTGGTAGTAGAAGCACTTGATGTTTTGGAAATTTTAAAAATTAACTTTTAGCAAAATAGTTTGAACCACACTGGGAGTGCCAGTTCTCTGAGAGGGCACCACCAGCTCTTCCTTGGTCTGCTGTTTATCTAGGCCATGGACCTCGACGGTCTTTTCTGCTCCCGTGTATCTAAAGAATAAGAGCCACGTCCTTCAGTAGCAGCAACTCATTAAAGCGGTGAGTTTCCTAGGGAGGAATAAGTCAGAATCTGAGGGCTGTGAGGGGAAGTAGTTTGAACAGGACTGAAGAAGCAATGCTAGGTCTTAGGTATTAAGAAAGAAAGCAGAGCCTTTTTCTTCTCCTTTTTGTTTAAGTAACTTCTAAAATCAAAATATACCATTCATACAGAAAAATATGCTAATCATAAGCAGGCACCTCACTGAATTTTCACAAAATGACCACACCTGTGTAATCATCACCCAAATCAAGAGCAAGCATAGAGCACCTAGAAGCCACCCTCACGCCCCTCAGCCTCTGCCATGATTCCTCCCACCAGGGGTAGCTCTACCTGTGTTTGAACTGTATGTAATCAGGTAGTGTACAGTTTTTGTGTCTGGCTTTTTTTTTTTTTTCTGAACATGAACTTTTGGCCAGGCTCTGTGGCTCATGCCTATAATCCCAGCACTTAGGAGAGACCAAGGCAGGAGGATCGCTTGAGGCCAAGAGTTTGGGACCAGCCTAGACAACATAGTGAGACCCTGTCTCTACAAAAAATTTAAAAATTAGCCAGACATGGTGGCATGGTGGCACACACCTGTAGTTCCAGCTACTCAGGAGACTGAAGTGAGACCCTGTCTTAAAAAAAAAAAAAACTGATGTTCTGGGGTTTTTTGGGGGTAGGAGTCTCACTTCATCACCCAGGTTGGAGTGTAGTGGCACAGTCTCGGCTCACTGCAACCTCTGCCTCCCAAGCTCAAGCAATCCTCTCACTTCAGCCTCCCGATTAGCTAGGAACACAGGTGTGTGCCACCATACCTGGCTAATTTTTTCTATTTTTGGTAGAGACAGGGTTTTGCTGTGTTGCCCAGGCTGGTCTCGAACTTACGAGCTCAGACGATCCGCCCGCCTTGGCCTCCCAAAGTGCTGGGATTACAGGCATGAGCCATTGCACCCAGCTAACATCAGCTTTGAATCCTGTTTCAGTGTCCTGGTTCAGACACTGATTAAGACTGATTATAAGAAAATAGATAAGGTGAGCCGGCTTGTCTTATTTCAGTGCTATTCCAAAATGCAGATGGTCCTTGAGCAGGGACATTGGTTAAATGTTTGACTTTCGCACAGCCTCCTAGTTACAAGCAGAATTAGACCAGATAGAGTATGAAATGTCAACAAAGCTAGTTATTAAGGGATACTGACCGCAGTGTACTTCAAAGCAAGGTAAGCCTTCCCATAAATAATTGGATAGATTATAGGTACTAAACTTACTTTCTGCAAGTACTGAGCCTAGGTACTACAGAAATGAGATGGGTGGAACATACTTACCTGTCTAACCTGGGCAAACGTCTCATCTATGAATTGTATCCATTGGGTTACTGATTCCACAAATCTGGCTCATTTTAATGATGAGTCTCAGATAATTTTTTAGTTTGAAACACAGATCTCTCCAGAATCGCAGTCCTCTATGGCCCAGGTGCTGTATCTGATGGAACTGTTATCTCTGAATGGAGGTTGATGTTTATAGAACATTCTGTATATGGTAAAAGGAATTTAAGGAGATTTAAGAGAAAGAATGTTCTGTATAAACTATAAGTGGAAATGTTTGTATTTCCCTTGGTAAGCAAATTGGACTGTGTATATTCTTTGTTTGTGATCTAATCTAGCAAGGCCAATTACCGGAATCGAGCTTTAGGGCATAGCATGACTAATAGGCTTAATTAGGCCTGCTTTTCTAAACTCCAGGCCTCTAGGGATGGCCACTATGAACTCCTGCAAAAGAGTCTTTAATAGACGTCCAGACTACCCAAGGGTACATTTTACCTTTGGTTTTTTGGTTGTTTTTTTTGTTTTTTTGTTTTTTTTTTCAAGATAGTTTGATAAGACTCTAAAATGTGGTGATATAACTATTTCCCAATGAATGCCTCCTTAATTTATAACCTGAGAGCCTACATTTTTTGTCCTTGCTTTTATCTGTTTTAGTTGCTCTTACTATCCTTAGTGGCATCATTGGTTAAGTTTCCATAAATATTCATCTCAACCTGTGTGGAATGTAAAAACTAGTTCCAACGCAGAACTCCAGGATACTCAGTTAAAGGAGCTTGTCACACACATTCTCTGGCATCAGTGGTGTTTGAGAAATCTCTAGTATATGAACTTTGTCATAAATGACAGTATATGTTGTGTCACTGCTACTGTCCCAAAGTGTTCGTGGTAGCACTAGAATAACAGATGAAAATGAAGTGTTTTTGAGCCGATGACTTGCTGTGATTCTATGGGTAAACTCCTTTACCTCTCTGAGTCTCAGATTCTTGAGCTGGAAAAGGACAGTGACAACAGTGCCCGCCTTGTAGGGTTGTGACACTAACTAATGTAACGTGTGTGAAAGCATTCAACATAGTGCCTGCCATAGAATAGGCATTCAGCAAATATCAGCGATTAGTAATGTTTTTAGCCATCACTTTTGTTTCCTTTCTCAGGATGAAATTGATTCTGCAGTAAAGATGTTGCTTTCGTTAAAAATGAGCTACAAAGCTGCCATGGGGGAGGATTACAAGGCTGACTGTCCTCCAGGGAACCCAGCACCTACCAGTAATCATGGCCCAGATGCCGCAGAAGCTGAAGAGGATTTTGTGGACCCATGGACAGTACAGACGAGCAGTGCAAAAGGCATAGACTATGATAAGCTCATTGGTACGGCCTCTGCTTTCTTTCCAGAAAAAGCTTCAACTTTTAGAAGTGGTCCCATTGAGTTGATTCCATTGATGTTTTTAAATTTTGAAGTAATCATGAATTCAGTGAAGTTTCAATGCCAAGTAAAAATGGATCCTAAAACCTTTTGATTGTGCATTATATTCCCAAAGGATTATTTTAAAATAAAATAACAAAATATATTTCAAAATAATGATCTATAGTAGACAGCTTAGTAGAAGCTTTTCCCCTTTTTTGAGCGCTTCAGAACTTGGGAAAGGTCTATTGAAATGGCCGTTTATAACATTTAGTAGCTACACGTCGATCATAGATTACTTAGGTTTCACCTCCAGTGATACTGACTATGGACCTAGAAGGCTGGAAGTCAGCTTAAGAGCGGTGACTTCTCACAGCGGGCCAGTTCCCACCATCAGGCCCTTCCTTAAGGGCCTTCCTGCTCAGAAAGACTGTTGCCATTCCATTGAAGTCTTTACTCTGAGATCATTACTAATTGTCAGAGAAGAAACAGAACTAAAATGTTTTCATCTAAGTCAAACCCATTTTCCATGATTTGAGTATAGACTATCAATCTATCAATGAAGGAAAATTCACTTGAAGACAGACATTAATTCAGTTCAACAAATAAAGAGTGTGAGCAATCATGGTTGCCAATGAATATAAATTTTACCTTAATAAACAAATATATATATACATATTTTTATATGTGTATGTTTATATTTTGTTCAAAAGTTGCTAGCTGGACTGCATTGTGGGTATATTTCCCATCAGAATCCAGTCTCAGGCAAAACAGCATTTTGTGTTGGATTTCCTGTTTTGTTGGTTGTGTTGATCTCAGATGTTGTTTTAATACAAAGACCTTTTACTTTATGTTGGGGGTAAGGACCTTTAGCAGAAGGCCTAAAGAGGTTTGTGTTCATTAAGATTGTGCATGGATCACTCACTTTTCACCTTCATTTCAGTAATATCTAATCACTAAACCTCCTGCCACCTAAGAAAGTCATCTCTTCCTTTTTTCCAGTTCGGTTTGGAAGCAGTAAAATTGACAAAGAGCTAATAAACCGAATAGAGAGAGCCACCGGCCAAAGACCACACCGCTTCCTGCGCAGAGGCATCTTCTTCTCACACAGGTCAGGGGCTCTTCACCACAGGCCTTCTCACCTGTCCTCTTCTTTTAGTTCAAAAAGTCACAAGACACTCCCTTCATAAGCCACCTGGTACTGTGGGAAAAGTGATGGCCAGCTGTCGGAAGACTGACATCCATCTTCTGTCTTGTCAGTAGCCCACTGTGGGATCATGCTTGTCCATTCACCCTCAGGCTCTTAGTTTTTTCATTTGTAGATTGCCCACCTCACAAGGTGAGAATCATATTAATAGCAGATGAAATTCTTCCCAGATTACTTGCTGTGAATAAATTATAAAATGTCATGAAAACAAAAGAGAATAATATGTCCAAGTTCAGCATTTCCCACACGACAACAGTAGGCTTCCTAAAATTCCAAACCCTCTTCCTCCTATTGTATCAACTTGCTCATAAATAATACCAAGAGACAAACCAACAGAGAATGCATGGAACAGATTATCTGTACCTTAGGCCATAAATTCCATGCAGATAACATCAAGATATGGGCAGGTTCCAAAAGAGTTTCTGCCTCTCCCAACCTACAGTTAATCTGGGTTGAGGCAGCCCCATTTTTGAAGCTATGTCCATGGAATTTATGATCTGAGGTAGGATTGTTCTGTTCTACTGGCGCGTCACGGTTATAGGAGAACACCCCCAGGACAGAGCCCAGCAGTCTGCCCAAACACTTCAAATTCTACCTGCAAAGAGCTCCAGGCCTTGCTCAACCCACTTTCTGGGCAGATTAAAGTATACAACTAAGTGGGTTTTAGTATATTCACAAGGTTGTGAGACCATCATGACTATCTAATTCCAAAACATTTCATCACCCCAAAAGGAAACTTCTACCCATTAACCCATTTATGCCAGAAGTTGCAAAAATTTTTTCTGAAAAATCAGACCTTGGCAATCACCTTGAGCAGTAAGATATAAATAACTCCCACAAGTTTAGCATTCCAATTATGCAACACTAGGTATAAATGGGTTAATCATTCCCCACTTCTCCCTCCCCACTGGCAACTATTAGTCTGCTTTCTCTATATCTAGATTTAGGCATTTCATATAAATGGGATCATATAACATGTGGCCTTTTGTGTCTGGCTTCTTTTACTTGGCATAACATTTTCAAGGTTCCTCCATGTTGTAGCATGTATTCATACTGGATTCCTTTTTATTGCCAAATAATATCCCATTGAATGGATATACCTCATATTTTGTTTATTCATTCATTAGTTGATAGACATTTGAGTTATTTTCACTTTTTGGTTATCAGCAATGCTGCTCTGACCAGTTGAATACAAGTTTTTGGGTGGATATATGTTTTCAATTCTCTTGGGCATATACCTCAAAATAGAATTAATGACTTATATAGTAATTCCATATTTAACTCTTTGAGGAACTGACAGACTTTTCTACAGCACCTGTATCATTTTACTTTCCCACCAGCAACATAGGAAGCTTCCCATTTTTCCACATCCTCACCCACTCTTGTTATTTTCCATGTTGTTGTGTTTTATAGCCATCCTAATGGGTGTGAAATAGTATCTCATTGTGGTTTTGGTTTGTATTTCCCTAATGACAAGGATGTTGAGAATCTTTTCATGTGCTTATTAACAATTTTTATATCTTTAGAGAAGTGTCTATTCAGATCCTTGGCCTACTTTTTAATTGGGTTGTCTTTTTATTGTTAGCTATAATAGTTCTTTATATATTCTGGATACTAGTTTCTTATTCATATGTTACTTGCTCCCATTATATAGGTTGTCTCTTCACTCTACTGATAAGTCCTTTGAAGTATAAAAGTTTTTCATTTTGATGAAGTCCAATTTATTTTATCTTTGATTGATTGTGTTTTTGGTGTCATATCTGAGAAACCACTGACCAATCAAAGGTTGTGAAGATTTACAGCTATAGTTTCTTCTCAGAATTTTGTGGTTTTAGCTCTTTCATTTCAGTTTCTGATCCTTTTTGAGTTAATTTTTGTTATTTGTGAGGTACAGCTCCAACTTCATTCTTTTGCTTGTGGGTATCCAATTGTCCCAGCACTGTTTTTTGAAAAGACTATTCTTGGCCAGGTGCAGTGGCTCACGCCTGTAATCCCAGCACTTTGGGAGGCTGAGATGGGCGGATCACGAGGTCAGGAGATCAAGACCATCCTGGCTAACACGGTGAAACCCCATCTCTACTGAAAATACAAAACATTAACTGGGCGTGGTGGTGGGCGCCTGTAGTCCCAGCTACTCGGGAGGCTGAGGCCAGAGAATGGCATGAACCCGGGAGGTGGAGCTTGCAGTGAGCCCAGACCTCGCCACTGCACTCCAGCCTGGGCTACAGAGCGCGACTCCGTCTCAAAAAAAAAAAAAAAGAAAGAAAGAAAGAAAAGAAAAGACTATTCTTTCCTAACTGAATCTTTTGGCATTTTTGCCAAAAATCAGTTGGCCATGTATTTAAGGATTTCATTCTAGACTCTCAATTCTATTCCACTAATTTATATGTCTATCCTTATGCTAGTACTACATAATCTTGTTTACTGTAGCTCTGTAGTGAGTTTTGAAGTTAGAAAATGTGAGTACTCAAACATGGTTCTTTTTCAAGATTGTTTAGGTGTTTTGGGCCCCTTGCATTTCCATATGAATTTCAGCTTTTCCATTTCTGCAAAAGCAGCAGCTGGGATTTTGATAGGGATTGCACTGAATCTGTAGACTCATTTGTAGAGCATTGCCATCTTAAAATATGAATTCATCTAATCCACGAACATGGGATGTCTTTTCACTTCTTTCATTTCTTTCATTGATGTTTTGTAATTTTCAGTGTATAGGTTTTGCACTTCTTTGGTTAGATTTATTCATAAGAATTTTTATATTTTTAATGCTATTGTAAATGGCATTTTCTTAATCTCATTTTCAGATTGTTTGTTGTTACTATATAGAAATACAACTGATGGCCGGGAACGATGGCTTACGCCTCCCAACACTTTGGGAGGCCAAGGCGGGTGGATCACTTGAGGTCAGGAGTTCAAGACTAGCCTGACCAACATGGTGAAACCCTGTCTCTACTAAAAATACAAAATTAGGCAGGCTTGGTGGCAAGCGCCTGTAATCCCAGCTACTCAAGAGACTGAGGCAGGAGAATCACTTGAACCCAGCAGGCAGAGGCTGCAGTGACCGGGGATCGTGCCATTGCACTCCAGCCTGGGCAACAAGAGCAAAACTCTGTCTCAAAAAAGAAAAAGAAAAAAGAAAGAAATACAATTGATGTTTGTGTATTAATCTTATATCCTGAAATTTTGCTGAGTTTATTAGCTCTAATGCTTTTTCTCTTTTTGCTGATTCTATAGGATTTTCTACGTATAGGATTGTATCTCCTATGATTAGAGACAGTTTTACTTCCACCTTTCCAATTTGGATTTTTTTCTTTCCTAATTTCTCTGACTAGAACTTTCAACCAACTAAACTAACCAGCCAACAACCTAGAACTTTCAATAGGATGTTGAGTAGTAGTGTAGAAAGTGAGCATCCTTGTCTTATTCCTGATCTTAGGAGAAAAGCTTTCAGTAAAGACTGAATATACACCATTTAGTATAATGTTAGCTGTGGGCTTTCTATATACCCTTCGACATGTTAGTGTTTTTATTATGAAAAGATATTAGATTTTATCAATTGCATTTTCTGCATTTATTGAGATGATCGTGTGGGTTTTGGCCTCTGTTCTATTAGTATGGTATATCACATTGACAGGTTTTTGTGTGTTGAATCAACCTTGCGTTCCTGGAACAAATTCCACTTAATCATGGTGTTAAAAATCAATTGATTTTCAATCATGGTGTATAATCCCTTTTATATGTTGCTGGATTTGGTTTGTGAGTTGCTGAGGATTTTTACATCTGTGTTCATAAGGGATATTGGTCTATAGTTTTCTTTTAATGTCTTTGGTTTGGTATCAGGGTAATACTGGCCTCATAGAATGAGTTGGGAAGTATTTCTTATTCAATTTTTTTGGAAAAGCTTGGGAAGAATTGGTGTTAATTCTTTTTTGAACATTTGATAGAATTTACCAGTGAAAATGGGGTTTTGGGCTTTTCTTTGTAGAAAGTTTTTTCATTACTAATTCAGTCTTTTTGTTTGTTCCAGATCTGTTCATATTTTCTATTTCTTCTTGGGTTCATTTCAGTAGTTTGTTTCTAGGAATCTGTCTATTTCATCAAGATTATCTAATATGTCGGTATACAGTTATTCATAGTATTCCCTTATACAGTAATCCTTTTTATTCCTATAAGATCAGTAGTAATGCCCCTTCTTATATTCCTGATTTTGGTAATTTGAGTATTCTCTTTTATTCTACCCCCCCCCCAACACACACACACTCAGTGACTTTAGTTCAAAGTTTACTAATTTTATTGGTTCTTAGTCAATGTTTTTTATCTTAGCATTGCATGGTTCTTCTCACTGCCTTTGTGACTTATTTATTGACTGCAGTATAGTAATCCTGTAGCCACTTGGCTTAGGAAAGCGTAGGACCTGAGCCATTTGCCCATTCTCAAATTTCAGACTGCCCCTCTGTCTAATTTTGTCATCTGTAAAATTTGAGATTAAATGAATCTACCATGCACAGTCAAGCTTCAAGTGGTGGGCAGGTGACTGGGTTCCCTCAGTAGCTGAATGAGCCTCTCCTGGAACCCATCCTCATAAAACAGGAGCTCAAAATTGGAGCCCAGTAAATTTCTGCACGCTTGTCAGGAGCACCTCACCCCAGGACCGAGCACACAGTGAGTTCTCAGATGCTCCCCATAAACACAAAAAAAGCAGCTCATGGGACAGCTGCATTTTTTTTCTCTTCTGTAAGCCCATAAAAGTTTAATTTGGTTAGTTGTGAGAACCAAAGAAAGATTCTTTTCTTCCAAAATTATGGGTTATTTTCTTTCCTTATTTCAAAAGCAGTATGTGAGCATTTCATGGGAAAAAAATGAAAACTAAGCCCAAAAACCAGAACACCCACAATTGTATCTGTCCAGAGATAAGCAATGGTGACCCTTGGCTTGGGGAATATAAGGAGAAGTCACTTTCAGAATACCGTTCTCTAGATTCTCCTACCCAGACCTCTGGAAAAGGTAGTTATTCATTTTGTATTTGGGGACACTTTACCCAGAAACAAAGGACATTCATCCTGGAGTGTTGGTTTCCCACCCTGCTGAACATTGGAACCCCTCATGGAGCTTTTTAAAAATACACATTCCCGGCTGGGTGCAGTGGCTCACACCTGTAATCCCAGCACTTTGGGAGGCCGAGGTGGGTGAATCACGAAGTCAGGAGTTCAAGACCAGCCTGGCCAACATGGTGAAACCCTGTCTCTACTAAAAATACAAAAAATTAGCTGGACGTAGTGTCGGGTGCCAGTAATCCCAGCTACTCGTGAGGCTGAGGCAGGAGAATCACTTGAACCTAGGAGGTGGAAGTTACAGTGAGCAGAGATCGCGCCATTGCACTCCAGCCTGGATGACGGAGTGAGACTCTGTCTCAAAAATAAATAAATAAATAAATAAATAAACAAACAAACAAGTCCCAGAGAGCGCCTCAGATCCATTTAATCAGTCTCTGGAGGTGGGGCGCAGGCAGCTGTGATTGGAAGCAGCCTGGTGGGGAGAGGGATGACTCTAGAGTGACTTGCAGATGAGGATACCTAGTCCCAAGCTGGCTGAGGGGCCCAGATAGATCTCCAACTGGGGACGTGACCTCTGAACTCCCAGAGGAAAATTCTTACTTTCCCTACTAAGCCAGGACTGTCTGGTCCCATGCAGTTTGCCTGGTAATCCCAGGTCTGAGAGTCCTCAGGGCTGGCTGATTCTGAGCAAAGATCATATGGTGTTGGCCTAGTGTCCCCAGGGAAGTGTACCAAGGTCACAGTGTGTCGGCACTGATGTTTGGAGGGATTCCAAGAGTCCCAGTAACTACACAACTGGATCCATCTTTTCAACACACACATTATTCCAAACCTACACTTTTTTTTTTTTTCCCCAGACGGAGTCTTGCTCTGTCACCCAAGCTGGAGTGCAGTAGCGCAATCTTGGCTCACTGCAAGCTCTGCCTCCCGGGTTCACGCCATTCTCCTGCCTCAGCCTCCCGAGTAGCTGGGACTACAAGAGCCCGCCACCATTCCCGGCTAATTCTGTGTATTTTTAGTAGAGTCAGGGTTTCACTGTGTTAGTCAGGATGGTCTCGATCTGCTGACCTCGTGATCCGCCTGCCTCGGCCTCCCAAAGTGCTGGGATTACAGGCGTGAGCCACCGTGAACCTATACATGTTATCTTTTAAAACACTCACAGGAGAAACCATTTCAGTAGAAGTTTCCTGTCATTTTTATATCATAAGCACTAAAGGTAACAAACTCTAGTTATTCATGTTGTTTTGTCTCTGTCTATATTTTTCATTTCCAAAAGTACACTAGTGCCTTGATATTTTTCTCAGAAAATCACACTCTTCCTCTTCTCCTTTTTCCTTTAGAGACATGAATCAGGTTCTCGATGCCTATGAAAATAAGAAGCCGTTTTATCTGTACACGGGCCGGGGCCCCTCTTCTGAAGCCATGCATGTGGGTCACCTCATTCCATTTATTTTCACAAAGTAAGTATTGGATCTTATGGCTTTTCTTACTCTCTTAGTGAATTGAGAATGTTGCTTATAAACCATGTTTAGAACTGACAAGATCATGCTAGTTCATTTGCTGAGCAACCAAGATACCAAGAGTTGGCACTTTTTTGGCTTCCATTCACTTTGTTCCTGGGCTGACTTTAGAGGACCATGGAATGATGGGGAGAGTGAAGCTTTGGAGTCAGCCAGGCCTGCTCCTCTTCTCATCCTGCTCCCTGTCCGCATGGCTATGGGCCGGCTACTTCTCTGAGCCTGAGTTTCCACATCTGCAAGATGAGAGTGAAGATACCTACCTCATAAAACTGTTGTAAGGCTTCAAAACAAAGTGTGTAGAGCAGCTAACACAGAGCATACAGGGCCATCTTGGTCAATAAGTGGTAGTAGACCTTATCATTATCCATAGTCAAATTCATATCATGATTCAAATTGTGATTTTGTAGGCAAGGAAGTTTTAACATACATTGTAAGTAGGAACTGTGTTTTCAGATGGCATTCCTCCACAGGGGAGATGAGACGTTAGCTTTCTTCCCCTGTGTTTCTTTAGGTGGCTCCAGGATGTGTTTAACGTGCCCTTGGTCATCCAGATGACGGATGACGAGAAGTATCTGTGGAAGGACCTGACCCTGGACCAGGCCTATGGCTATGCTGTGGAGAATGCCAAGGACATCATTGCCTGTGGCTTTGACATCAACAAGACTTTCATATTCTCTGACCTGGACTACATGGGGTAAGGAGAAAACGTCTGGCTGTCTTTTCAATATGTAGAGGTGGATGTCAAGTTGTCATGACCACAGCTAAATTCAAAACACCTGAAATGGTCTTAAGACCTGGTAAATGTTCTTCTTCCTTTATTAAATGCTATGAGTGGCCAGGCATGGTGACTCATGCCTGTAATCACAGCACTTTGGGAGGCCAAGGTGGGCGGATCACAAGGTCAGGAGTTCGAGACCAGCCTGACCAACATGGTGAAACCCCATCTCTATTAAAAATACAAGAATTAGTCAAGTGTGGTGGCACGCACCTGTCACCCCAGCTACTCAGGAGGCTGAAGCAGGAGAATCGCTTGAACCCGGGAGGTGGAGGTTACAGTGAGCCGAGATCGCGCGAAACAGCTCTGGCCAGGCATGGCAAAACCCCGTGAGTGAGACTCTGTCTCAAAAAAAACAAAAAACCAAAAAAAAAACAAAAAAAAAAAAAAAAAGAAAATTATACTAATGACAACATCTATGTTCTTGTTTGATCCCATTTCAGTGACATGGCTGCTATGACACGCAGCCACTAAACCCGGTGCCAGGATCTGGATCCTCATTTCCTTCCTTCAAGGATGCCACAGGGCCTCCATGGCGTCACAGTCTGGTTGAAACAAGAGAGTATATTTTAAAAGGAATCAAAGGTGCCGGGCACCGGTGGTCACGCTGACAAGTCCCAGCACCTGTTGGGAGGCCAGGTGGGTGGATCACAAGTCAGGATGATACAGACCATCCTGGCTAACACAGTGAAACCCTGTGTTCCTGCTATTTCTAGAGAAGAATACCACCAAGAACTAGCGCTGGGCGTGGTGCGGGGCACCGTGTAGTCCAGCTACTGGAGGCTGAGCAGGGAGAGGTGGCTGACT